GAAAATATAGCTACTGCGAACTTCTGGAATAATCAGGAATCTCTAAATAAAGATGTGGGGGTTTTCAGAGAAGGCATTGAGAATTTAAAGTCTGAGTATATCAAGTCTTTCCACTATGAAAGTAAGCTGATGCCATCTACTTGGATTGTCATCCGGATTGATGGTTGCCACTTCCATAGGTAAAACTCCTTGTAATTCACTTTCTAAAATTCCTTAAACTTCTCCTGCTGCTCTGTTTTGATCACTTTCAGGCGGTGAACTGCAAACACTTTTTTATTTACCTTTTCAGTTATAAACTTATAAAGGTTTGAGTTTCCAATTGATAAAACTATTAGTAACTGTCATTCAATTTCACAATATCAACTACTCCCTCCGGCCCCCCTATAATTGTCCCATTTTTCCATTTTTGGATGTTCCCCTATTATTGTCCCATACCATATCTGGTAAGATTTGTGTGACTCTAATTCATTCTTACTTTATTCTCACATTATCAACTCATTATCAACCACATATTCTACTTTTCTTAAAAACCACACCACTCTCTTCCGTCCCAATATTAGGACGGAGGGAGTATTTTTTAATGATAAACTTTTAATTACTAAAACTGAGTTCATGGCTCTTTCAAATTGTCCAAATGAAAGTGTGGTGGCTAACTATTTAGTCAATGAAGGACATATGAGTAACTTCTAAATTCTAATCAGTTATCCTCAAAAGTTTAAAACTTATCTAGGCATGCATTGCTTTTCACGTAGTTTTTGACATAGTCTTTTTATGATGTGCTTTTGCAATTAAGCATGAAAGTCTTTGCTTAATAACAAGCATAAAATATTCTATGATTGACAAGCTTTGAAGTGATATGTAGTGATCAGAGGTGTTTCATAAAATGCTTATTTAATAAATAGAGGTGTTTCATAAAGTGCTTGTTTGTGCAGCAACTCCAAAATAATTCCACACTTCTTTTGAAACGGTTGATAGGTTTTGTGATGCTCATAGTTTTGAGAAACCAAATGATGAGCAAGCCCTGAACCTTATGAACTCTTGTGCAGTTGCTGTGGTGGAGGAGTTCACAGACATTGTCTTTGCATATGGGGTGAGTGATGAGTACAGGTAATAGCATCTGCATAATATTTAATGTGATTGTGTGATGCCTTTTGTCCTTTAACAGATTTTGATTCAATGTTTTCAGCTTTGTTCTGAATAAAGACTCTTCACTCTACCAAAGGCGTGCTAGGTAACTGTTTCATCATCTCACCTCATCATGATCACCTATGCCTTATGGCCATTGGTGATGGAGTATGCCTTTAGATATGAAAATGTAGAATTTGTTTAGTCAGGCAAATCACTCTCCTTTCTCAGACTCTTGCTTCTAACAAGAATTACTTGCAACTCCTTTCTCAGAATTGGCTTGGAAGGATCATAAGGAGAATATGCATTTGCTTCTACTTATGAGAAGTGATTTGCTTTAAAGATAATATATGATTTGTGATTAATAGTAAAGTTGGGTGATTGAAAAGAAATGCGATTTAAAAAGAGTAAATTAGTAAAAGTTAGAATGATTGTTGGAAAACTAGTTTTTTGTGTAATAGAAAAAGTGAAAAACAGTTTTAAGGCACCCATGCAATAGCATGGGTGGCTTAAAACTGTAATAGCTTTAAACTGCTTTTTTAAGAAAAAGTAGATAAGTGTATTTAAGCAATTGCAAACACTCCTTTAATCTTCCTCATTTTGCTTGTGGTAGATGTTTAATTTTCTTTTGGGTTAACTTAGAGTTTTTCATGATATATCTTTATTATGTTAGGATGGTTGTGTCTTTACATTGTTGACATTTTATGTTGACTTTCTGTGACGATAAATACTTTTATCATGTTTGCAGTGAAATAGTCTCTTCCGTTGTTTCTTTCTTCTCATCTGTATATTTGATGAAATGGAAGGAGTTTTTCCCCCAAAAAGACTTGAAGTATCCACCATACTTTGACGGACGTTCTGTATGCTATCCATCCTCTAAGATTCTTCGAGATTATTTGGCTTGGAGACAAGTTGATTGTGAGTTTTTTGATAACTTCAAACAAACTTATGTACTTCAATTCCAGTGATGTGGTCTGAGAAAATGATAGCAGTACATCACTATTATTTGTAACTTCCCATTTTCATGATAATTTATTTGGGGAAATACAGGCCATATCAATAATCAGTACAACACTTGTTTTTGGATGCTTGTAAAATCTGGCAAAAGCAAAACGGAGTCCCAAAACATCCTTAAGGTGCGTGCAATGTGCGACATATGTTTGGAATTCCTTTTAGGGATGTCCCTTATTAATTTGGATTGGAACACTCTTCATATTCATAGTATTGGAACTCTGTCAAGTGTCAACAATTGATATCTTTTGCATATTTGTACAGAAAATGTTTTTTTGGGTACTCCGGGGGGATATTCTAAGGATCTATCTTGGAATACCTAAGATGTATCACTTGGTACTAGGGAGCAAAACTGTAAGGCTATGTTTGGAAGTTGGAACTCAGAAAATTGTAGGGAAAGGGAAAAAATTGAAAGGGGTTTTGATTTTTCATGTTTTAGTTTCTCTGGAAAATACCTAAAAATAATAAGAGTTTGAACATGCGGAGTTCTGATGACCTCTTGGAACTCAATGTCTTTTAGGGAGGGTCTTGTACTTGTATACTTAGGGTTGGGTTTTTCATCTGTACTCTCCTTTTTGTTGTTTTTATTTTTTATTTTCCTTTTATCCTTTTTATGTTATCTTTTTCGCTCATTTATCAATAAAATTTCCCTTTTTCGTACAAAAAAGAGCTTTAACATATATCCAAAAAGAGATTTTTCATGTTTAGCAAGTTTTCCCTTGATGTTCCTCCCTATTTCTTTCCTTGGCGATTCCCAAGTTCCTAACGGACCCTTGGGGTGAGGTCAATCCGTTTTAGTGAAAGAATCGCATACAGTGGAGGCATACATTGCTACTGACCAATTATGTGCTTTTTTGCAGGGTACTCAAACTCCAGAAAAAATTGAACTGCTTTCCCAATTTGGGATTGATTACCACAATTTACCATCTATTTTCCGCTTTGGATCCTCCGTGTTTTGGAATAAGGTAATGCAATAACATTTATTGCAGTACCTTTGTTTCTTTACAGCGAAACTGTTTTCACCCTTTTAGAATGTTTACTTTGACTAACCAAAAAGTTAATTTGGCTTTGTTCATATTCCATTTCTTTATTGAGAAAATTCCCTAAATAGGACTAAAACAAGATAAAGTCCATAAATAGGACTATCATTCTTTTACTCCCAAAATATGATTTGTTCACTTCTATTTTGGAAAGTTAAGTCAACTTATTCTTTTAATATGACCAAATTAGTCAAATTGGTGGAATAAAATATACTTAGTCCTTTTTTGAACTTTGTGTATGTTTTGTTCCTATATTGAACGATTTATGTTCTTTGTTTATGGTTGTCCTTAGGGGGAATAAGATATACAAGTACCGGATTACTTGATCCTTTTTTTGAACTTTTTGTTTGCTTTGTTCCTATATTGAGCACTTTGTGTTCTTTGTTTATGTTTGTCCTTAATTTTCCAGGAGGAAGGCCCACTCAGTGCGATGGCGAATTGTCACAAGAGAGTTACGGTTGAACATTCCAACATTATTGATACAAACTTTTGGAAGGCACATCCTACAATACTTGAAGAAATCACCCATTGCTGACAAGCCCCAGGCACATTAACTTGTTTTTAGCTAATGGCAATTGTATGCACTGAGTTACTATTTTAACTGGTTTTAAAATATGTTTTTTTAAAATACTATACATATTTTGGTTCAGATGCTATTAGAGCCAAATTTGAATTCCGTATTTAACCCAGACCTTGGAAGTTGGCTCGGATTTGCTATATCAGCACGGATAATTTTTGGGCTAGATAAAAGTAACGAAGCTGGACAGACTGTTGATTCGGATGTGCTCAACCAAAATCTGAGACGACTCTTGGCTTGGACGGCTAAAATCCAAGCCAACAGGTTGGCACACCCATATTGGCACAAATTGGGGATCTACGACAAAATTGAGCCAAAGGCGTTAGACTCAGAAATGTAATAAAGGAATAAGAGTCAAAATCCGAGCCAAATATGAGATTTTTAATAGTGCAACTTGATTAAACCATTTTCCAAAATAAAAAAATAAATAAAATAAAGAGTGGATGTTTTTTATGCAAGTATAGGAATTAAAAGAGTTTTTTACAAGAATATTACTAAAATAAAACTTATTTACATTAATATGACTTCATTACTATAACGTGGTGTTGTAGTAACTTAAATTCAAAACTTGAACATGAATTACTATGATTTCATTACTACTCTAGTAACTAGTCATATTTTTGTAAATCATCTTTATTTTGGTCATATTTATGTAATTATTTCATTAATATGAGCTCTTGATAACACTTAAATTGACTAATTTGCTAAATCTAGTGAAATTTTAGAAATTACAAGAAATACGCTGAATTATGAAACACATATTTAAAATATATTTTATCTTTGTAATAAGTTAAAGAAAATTATAACATTTTTTTCATCAATTCAAAAAATATATAGATGAACAACTTTATCTTTATATAATGTCATAAAAATTAGGTAGTAAACCGATAAATATATTCAACGATGGTAGAATTTGAATACGGAGTAATATTCAATAACTCCCAAAAGAGTTCAAGGCCAGCTAACTTGAATGGTATCAGAGTTCAACAATAAAATGGACACAATTAGAAATTTTGACATCTAAGCTCATCATTCGATCTCCTACACACTTGGTGAAATCACCACAATTAGAAATTTTGACATCTTATCTTCAATCCTTCAATTAGTGTTGCTCTCGTTTTTCACTCGATTGACACTTATGTGAGATGTACAATGCTAGATTTTTATATTCCAACATATATTAACCACTACTAAGTATTGTATATAAATGTTTGCAAAAAAAAAAAGAATTGTAAAGAAATTAGAGTGTGACAACTAAATGAATTGAGCTTAACTGTTGGGGTTAATTAGGAACATCTATATGTCTAGACATAAATGTTGTCATAATTTGGCATATATAGATGTCTAAACGGAAAGCATCTATATGTTGGGGTTAATTTAACTGAATTGAGCTTAACATAAGCATCTACAATGTACCACATGTAACGCTAAAAATTCCCAAATTTGGAGACGTGAGCAATTCCCTATTGCGAATATTCCCGAAACAGGACTAAAACGTATGAGAATTCCAAAATAGAATTGTCATGTTTTTATTCCCAAAATAGGATAAAGTACTGTCAAGTTTGGAAAATACTGACATGTTTATAATCTGGTACTAACAAAGCATTAAAGTAATTAATCCTATTTAGGGAATAAAAACACGGCCGTCTTATTTTGGAATACACAAACTTTTTTAGAGTTCTATTTAGGGCAATTTCCCTTCTGTTTTGGCCAATCAGTTGCATTGTGAATTACTGATGGGTGGGTGGGTCCACTCTATAGCGCTTCAACACGTCGCCAACTTTGTTAGAGTACACAAGAAACTGCAAGCATCACAACACATTTAAAAACAAATTAACAATCGCATGCAGAATAGAACAAAAAACTACAGAAAATGCAGTAAATTGTGCCTGCTGGTTTATACATAATATATTTTCATGATTTAGTCCAATAAGACTGGAGTATCAAATCATATACATTCAAATGATACGAGAATGAATAAGAACAGATATAAAAACTGACAAAAAAACTAGACAAGATAGAAACATTCAGATCAAACGAAACCAGCCCAGAAAAAAATCAAATCGCACCAGAAATGTTCAAACCAGAAAGTTGTGGACCGAATTGAAAACAAAAGGCATAGTAGATGGATTAAAACTCACAGGTATTAACAATTTCTTTTCTAAACACATTTTGTTGATAGTGATGAATATATACCTCTTTGGTAACCTCCTCATGTTTAAGTTTCAACTGTTGGCATTGGGATTCTGCATTCTCTCCTACTGAAATAATCTTTGCATTAACAGCATCCCCCTAGTTTGGAAAAGGTTGAAATTTCAGTGACCCTTCAAATTCATGTCACTTTATGTAAATATACATTCTACAAATATATAAACGAGATGCAGTTATTTTGTTAGCCAAACAACGAATAAGTACCTCAGCAATGACCGTTTCAACCTGCTTTTTCCGCAACAGAAGGCCATGCCTTGTTGATTCAACTTGAGACTTCACATTGTTTAGCTCCTTTGTTGCCTCCTCACGAGCGAGTGTGCATTCTATCTCTACTTTCTTTTTCAATTCATCCAGTTGGTCCGCTGTCTCAAAATAAATAATATCTCAAAATAAATGCTAGAAAAAATAATTATTTGAAGAGTGGGCCAGTACACTACCTTTCCCTTGCTTTTCTACCATTTTAGCGTCAAGTGATTTGTCTAACACTTCATCTTCACCCAGCTTACATTTGAGAGCCTTTATTTCCTTTTCTACTGATTTAACTGAATTTGCCTGAGCCGATACAGTTGTGTAACCATTAAGAGTACGCATGGATACCAGAAATTGCTAGGGAATGAAAATAAATTGCTAGTTGAAGTTGTTTTTTCATCTTCTCAATATTTCTTCCCTTCTATTTTTTTCCTCTCCGCTTCCCTTTTTTTCCTTTCACAGATTCATTACCATTTTCAAGATTCCAAAAGGGCCTCGAGGGAAGAGAACAATTTATCACTCTATCAATGCATTTTGTTTTATGAATGCACGTGCGCAAATTGGTTAAACATGCAATGACACGCCAAGATCACGCTATTGTTCCAAGTAAGCACTCTTTCATAACAAGTAAAAATGCGAGCACACCTCCAAATGAATAAATATCAACTAGATTATATATATAATGAAAACATTAAAAAGGAACAGGAAGGCAGACAAAATGACGCCAACAGACCTGCTCTTGTATAGCCTTCATCTGCTCCAGGCTTTTAGACATTTTCTTCAGAGCCTGATATTGTGAGAGGGAAATTTGAGAGGTGAAAAATACTGTGAAGCACAAGGCAAGTACAACTAGAGTAAATATTGGTTCTCCATGTTAAACACAAACACTTACAAGTTGCAAGATTAAAATGCAGAATGTGACATTGTTCCATTTTCTCCATTTTCGGTCCTCCGGCTATTGTGTCATTGACACTTTTGGTACTTGACTTTTAATTTTTCCAATTTTAGTCCTCGACTATTGTTCTAGAGACACTATTAGTCCTCGACTTCAAAGTTTTCCACATTTAGTCCCCTGAGTATTATCAAATTGACAGTGTTATTCCTTCCACTCCGATTTTGACATAATAAGTGGAGGACTAAAAATGTAATTTTAATAATAGTTGAAGGACCAAATGTGTTGCTTTTATGAAAGTCAAAGGATAAATATGGAAATTTTCAAAGACGGGTACCAAAATGTCCCTAGCGCAATAGTCGAGCACTAAAAGTGGAAAAAATCAAGGTCGAGTACCAAAAGTGTCAATGACATAATAGTCGGAGGACTAAAAGTGGCAAAAACTCTTGTCAACATTTATGAAATTCCACACTACTTTTGTTTAGTGGCATTTTGAACAATTTAGATTAATGCGAAATGTAGGAAAAAGAAATGCTGAAGACTGAGGGAAAAAAACATAACTATAGTAGATGGACCAAAAAACAAAATTTTCCAAAAAATGTACAAGAATGACTGCATAGCATACCTTTGTATACAACTCAAGAGTGGCATTCTTATCCTGAAAGGATTGCATTGCCGCCCTTTCTGCATTCTTTGCCTCAACTTGATGAGATTTTTTTTCCTCTAGTGCCCGCTGTGCGTTTGTAAAGTGATGTTTTTTATCAAAACTCAAAAACAAATGAAGAAATATTTCATGATATCATACCAGGTACTATAAATAGTAATGACTCATGATTAACTATGATTTCTCAAAATAAACACTGAAATACATATACAATCTCAAATGAGCCTTTAAACATTGAAAAAAAAAATCTCACTATTATCCAGGTTAGTCAAACTCATGGGAACCTTATGCTAAAAAGACTGTTATTTTAGTCGGGACTTATCACAAAGAATTTCATTCAATCTTATAAATAAGCATGATGATGCAGGATGCTTAAATTAACACTTTTGTCTCTTCTAAGTATTAAGCTATCAGCATATGTTATGCGGTTATGGCATTAATTATTACACTGCAAGCAAAAGCATGAGCATTGCGTACATACTTATCTATGAGACTTAATTGGTATCTGATATGTTTCAACAACAAATTTTGATTAAAAAACTTCTTGGTACCTGAAGCTTGTCCGGAGATTGAACAATTTTATACCGTAAATGGGCATTTTCTTGAGCACTTTGTACCAGTTCAAACTCCACTTTGGAAGTCTAGTAGATCAAAACAAGACGCAATCAGGTAATGAAATGGAGTAAGCAAAACTATAAACAATAGGGGATAAACAGAATACTTAACCTGGATGTTAAAAATGGTGTGACCATGTTACGGCTAAGATCTACGATCTACATATTCCTTTGGTAGAAGGTGCAATAGCTCACTAAAGTCATAGTAGGCCTTGGGGGCAGACTATAGTGACCACTGAGATATGTTACTACAAGGTGTTCTGACCAATTTAGCATTAATGGGAACTTAAATAAAAATTACAACAGTTATTTCAATTTTTATTAGTTGGGTTAAGGTGTGGTAGACTTGTGGTGGAAGCATCACATTCAATCATGCACAAAATATCTGCAACCCTATCAAAATGGGGGGTCTAAGTACCGAAATATAGGAATATGGATTGAAAAGCAAACCATCTCATCCAACTCTTGTGCCCTCTCCTTCATCTTTCTTGTTTCAGACTTTAAGGACACCTGATGGTTGTTGAGGCCAGCGATAGTCTGCTTCAATTCCTTAACTTTAGCTTCTTCTTCTTGCACAAGGACTGCTTCCCTTGCTCTTAATTCATTGTATTGAGTAATCTCTGCTTTCAGCTGTGGGGTGGAATAGTGAATTCACATAATCCTTTATGATTGTCCCACATTCTTCAATATAGCTTCATTCTAAGACATACTCATATACCTGAGATAGTTTTTCCTCTAGAGCTTGTTTTTGCTCCACAAAAACATCCAACTCGCCCGCTAGTGATGTCAGTTCATCCATCTTGATGGTTCTAAAATGAGGAGAATATATCCCGGAAGTTTAGCAAGGGTGCTTAAATTTATTCATTACATGAAAACTCTATTCGAGTAAAGAAGAAGAAGCTAATTTCAGCAGTCTCATTTACCTGTGAGTGCAGAAATTGAGAAGAGAACCAAGAAAGAGCTTGGTGCGATCAGGGTCGGGCTTAATTAAATCCCAGAGAGTGAACTGGCCGGGGCAATCGATAGCAGCCAATAGCCCTCTCATCTTGTGAAGTAAATTCATGACAGGAACCGTAGAAACATGAAGATCCGGGTTGTGAAAAACTTCCAAGGCCGCAAAATCCGCCTGCTCATCATCCTCCCTAAACGCATCCAAACGCAAAAGTTCAAGAATAGCTCCCAAATTAAAATTGACTATTAACTTCACTGGAGCGGGGGAAATGGATGGAGGGTTTACTGAATCAAGTCCAAGTAGTTGAGAAGGTGAGTGTAGATATTTTCGACGAGTTCGCGAGTTGGATTGAGAAGGTCCTGCTCCGTGACGTTGCTGGCGAACCCGAAATGAGCTAGATATCCGATGATCTCTGACCGGGTGATGTCTGGGTACTTGAAAGACGACGCCATTTTTGCATGAAAGCTTGCAAACTGCGGAAAGCAAAAGGCAAAGTTGCCCACCGACGTGTTTGTCGCGGGATAATTTGTTCGCTCTGAGATTCAAATTTGAACCAATTGTCCGTTCAAATGTGAAGAACCACCTTGGCAGCGGTAGGGTTGGTTTGAGAACTGCTGTTAAAAAGCTTTTTACTTTAAAAAACATTTATTTTCTCTAACACTACAATTTTTATTTTTTTCGGCTTCCGCGTCAAAAGTGTTTTTACTTTTTCTATAACACAAAAAGCACTTATTTTACCAAACACTACCCACTTTTACTTTTCAAAATCATTTTTTTCTCAAACACTATCAACTTTTATTTAATCACTTCTCCTCATTTCATTAAAAAAACACTTTTTAAAAGCAGAAACTGTTGCAAACAGACCCTTAGCAGGCATGGACCTGTCCAGCTTACAGGCCCGGGTTCTAATTTTTTGATATTTTAGTAATTTAGTACGGAGTACTTCGCAGTTCGTACCTTTTTAAACCTCAAGATCGGACCCCTGGCAAATAAAACGATTTTGGCTCTTTCTTTGGGTTTCCACAGCTAGAATTGTTCCCCCGCTATCGTTTTTAACGAGAAGTGGTTGCTCTAGGCAGAATTGGGCGTACAGGATTTCTTCTTCCATTATCAATTGTGCGGCTATTTTTCTTCTTTTGCTTTGGCGAGAGTAAGCGGGGGAAGATGATGTTTGATATCAGGCAGCCGAAGGTTGTACAGGGATGGAAGATGGATGATTGGTCTCTGATGGCCAAAGATCGTGGACGAAGTGTGAAGCTAGAGGCTAGAAAAATCTGGATTCGAGGTCATATGTAGTCTCTCAGTACTACAGGAGAGTCTAGGATTTGGAAGCATCTTTTTAATTTATTACTCCCTCCGTCCCTAAAAGAACTTCCAACTTTCTCTTTTTGTTCGTCCCAAAAAGAACTTCACTTTCCCTTTTGGCAAAGAATTTGTGGTTCACAACATTTCTCTTTCCTCTGCACAACTCTCCACCACACAATTCTCACTTTCTTAATCAGTGTGCCACTTTATTTTGGAAGAACATTTAGGGACGGAGGTAGTAATTGTTTTGTTTGTGATTTATTTTTCATGACCAGACTACTTATTTTTCTGTTGATTACTTTTATTATTGTACGACTCTTGCATTGGGATTGGGTGATGTAAGACATGCTTTAACCGTCGTTGGCTCATTTATGTCTATTATAGAATCAACGAGTTATATTGCTTTTTTTGGAGATGTTTGACTCTAAGTCTAGTTCGAGGGATGTCAGTTGTGTGTGGTCCTTTTATCGTTTAACTCCCTAATTGAATACTAATGTTGTGATATCAATTTAAACCCTCTTCTTCAGTTCTTCCACAAGAAAAAACCTCGACCCCCTCCTTATCGTTTTTTTAGCTTTTAAATGAATTTCTTCTTCTAATGCTTGAAATGCAAAAAAAAAAAAGGATCAGACCGGCTGCTTCCGGTCCAAATAATTGCAGACCCAAACCGATAATCATGATCCCCTAGGCTGGTCTCCTAATTAAGCCGGGCAATCTGATCTCGAGAACCTACCGATTCTAGGTACATCTAGACCCGGTCCGATCTACCCATACTGAGTAACCGTTTTTGAAGCCCATCTGCTCACTTTTAAGCCCATGTGCTACCCCAGATGCCACTAATTGATTTTTATTTATATACTAGTTTTTGTAGCGCGCGATGCGCGATAGAGATAATGCCCAATATATTTTGTACTACGTATAACATATAAATCCTTAGTTATGTATGTTTGCCCCCATCAACCCCAATCTTACCCCTACATATAACCTAAAGTTTTATAGAAAGTTGCTCAAAATAGGAGTTAAACATATGAAAAAAATCAAAAAAAGGATTAAGAGTGTTTGAAAATTATGCTCGCTGTGCTGCCATGGAAACCGCCGCGCGCGTGCCTACATGCACATTTACAACTATCAATAAAATTCAAAGTGCACTTCTGTGTGCATCATACACTGAAGTAAAAAATGACTTACTTATGGACTGTCTCTTTGAATTTCTCCTCATCCAAGAATTTTAGGATTAAGAGAACCAGTTCCATACTCAGGGAAGACATGGTCACAGCTCCGAAAGTCCCTAACCACTCCAGTGCAAATCTTTGGCTTCAAACCTGGAAATACAGGGAAGATATGCATTTTAAATGCACACAACACACCTTTACAGAAAATGGGGCTCCTAACCCCAGAATCATGAAACCCCTAAAAAATTCAGCTTTAGATTTCACAGATCACCTACTTAATGTAGATCACTTCGTTTAAATAACTATACTTATATCAAGGAAACCATAGTTAGGACTTAGGATCATGGAAATGCCCTGCATATTCCACTTCGTCAATGCTAAAGCTACTAAAACTACAAAGAGTAATTCACTAAGATTTAGTTCCAGCCAGAATCATCGTATTTTCATACATCACATGTAACCTCGTGAAAAATATCAGTGTGTTTGGATTACTAATTTTCGAGGAGTAAGGTGCTCTTGAATTAAAATGCTTTTACTTTCAGAAAACAGTTTTGAGAGAAATGGAAAAGTATTGTTTATAAAAAACTACTTTTAGTGCTTCTTTATTAAAATAGCATATTGGTGCTTAAAAATACTATGTTGAAATGAAAAATCACTTGGGGTTCCATAAGTAATCTCAATCTTGAACTTATTATGGGAATTTAGAATTTAATTTAAGCATGCAATAATTTAGCCGAGTGTTGGCATATTGCTTGATGAAATTTTGTTAAAATGAAAAAAATTGAATACTATGAAGGCAATCAAGAGAAACGGATAACATCAACAAAGGTGGCAAACGGATATATTGTATGGAACTTTTCAGTACAGAAAATTAGAAAGAACAGGAAGATACCAGACATAGATTCTAGAGGGAAAATTGGGCGGGAAAAATTGGCAACAACAAAAGTTCATAAACCTCCTAATAATGTCCACAAGCGCAAGGAGATTTTACTCATTGCTACTATGGGTTCCTCAAGAACAAGAATATTTTACTCGGTGTCAATGATAAGGGTACATGAACTGTCATTTGATCTCAACGATTTTCACAACTTGGCTTCCTATATTTTGTGCAAGAGAAATATGTCTATATCAAAGCAACCAAAAAATCAGCTTGCTACATGAGATTTTCCTCGCCATAAAACAAGAAAAGTGTAATGAGATTAAGCAAGGTGCTCAAATAGAACTTCTACTACTTTTACATTTAATTAGAATTTATACCTCTCCCCCGTTTTACATAAAACAAGAAAAGTGTATCCCAGTGTAATGAGATTCTGCATATTTGGGAGTATCTCAGTGTTCTTGTGCATTCAGTGAGTTGGGTCAACTTTTTTTTGGTAGATATATGGAAAAGATTAAAATTGAAATAGATCATAGGAATTTAGATGATTTTGCATATTTTGGAGTATCGATCTCGTTGTTCTTGTGCATTTAGATTTAAGAGTTTTCTTTCCTGTAAGCTTTTGATTGGATTTTATGAAATAAACCTATGACTATAATTTAGGACATACAAACTGGAGTACGTTTGACAGGCTGACAGCCCTACTCTAAGGTCTCTAACAATAATTTTTAGATTGAATTGAAACCAGATGCTTCACATGTGGGTAAATCAGAACTTACTGACTTAAAGGCAAATTCAGACTATAGCTTCATATTTATTTGAATGGTACTTCTTTACAAGCATTGTATCCAGAATCTGCTTCATCAAGAGTTCAAGACCTAAGAAGTGCAGATATATGGAAGAACTAAGGTGTGTTGAAATTGTTCTTTTGCTTACAGTTTCAAAATACTTTGAAAAGCTAAAATAAGACATTATGTGTTGCTATTTTTCCCTCTAAAAAATGAAGAGAATTCTAAGAAAAGCACATCCAAACAAGCCCTACACCTCCAAGATGATGTGCAATGTTTCTTTGAGCGTAACTTTAGTAGCTAATTCTTTCAGCCCTACATGCTGGATTTTGCTATCATTGCGTATTAAAGAACTTAAATTGGTGTGGGCAGCCAGAAAGCTTCTAAAAGGTGTTATTTCTTTACAATAAAAAAATTGTTTACTCTTTTCGGGACACACTGTAAATCCAAAATGGGGGGGGGGGGGGGGGGGGTTCTTCAGTAAGAATAGTCCCATTCTAGATAAAGATGCCTAAATTAGGCTGTTAATTTGGTGTATAAAAAGTTGGCCACTGCATAAAATGATGGTTCCTAGCTATTTAAAACCATATTTGTGAACCACCACAATTTATCATGTACCCACATACACTTCTACATAAAATTGAAAGGTGGCACATTACAAGTGTAGAATGTTTTACTTTTGAAAATAACTCTCTTCTCAAAGACACAAACAACCCCGCCCCTCACTATCTTAGCTGCATGGTTGTTGTAGCCTCTTCCATCCACCCCAATCCGACTGGTGTTCGCAAAGCTTATGATGCATGTCACTACTGTACTGCTTTGTGTGTTGGCTAAAGATGTTATTGTCTTTTTCATTTTTCATTAATGGCAACATAATGGGGTTAAGGATTGTAGAAAAAGTTGAAGCATTCCCCCCTATTTTAGGGGTTTGATATCAAGTAAAGAAGTAAATTTTAGCTTAGTTCGGCTTTTAGCATTTCATCAAGAAGCTGAAATGGAATGTAAAAAAAATGGTAGTGCTTTGATAAAAACATTAAAAAAAAGTAGAGTATTTGTTCTTTGAGCATCACCAGCGTGAGACGGTCTTACGAAGCCTGCTCCTAAGAGACATGTCACTTTTCAGCTCAAAACTACTACTTTGCATTGTGAAAAACTATTAGTAACTCGGATCACTTCTGGAAATGCTCTATATGAAGAGGTGATACTGTGACAGCTTATGGCGCAAAAAGGATTACTTTTTTTTTAGCTAAAAGTGAGCCCAAAAGTGATTATCCCAAACACATTGTAATATCATTGGTGAGTTTGAACTGTTTCCCAATTCAAAACAAAAATATACATTTACTTGTACTTCATTAATAACTTACGTTGTCTTTAGGAATAAGATTATTGCTTCTTTGCCTTGTGTAATGTATTTTACTTAATCACACTACGTGTAATGCATTCTTGGTCTTTTACACTAAATCATATAATTCATTACACTAACACCTTAAAATGGTAACCCCGCCTTTTCCCAATTTCATTTTCGACTCAATTAACAATGCATCAAAACACCAAAGCTAAATTGAAAAGCAGCACAGACAGAGGGGCAAGGAAAGCAAAGAAAGAGGTTACTTTCAGTGAAAAGCGGTAGGAAGCGCGGAAGTTTTTCCAGAAGCGCACAAAACAAATTTATTCCCCTGTTTGTCCAGTTTTCCTTTTTCGTCTGTACCACTAAGTTTGTCCAAATCATATTTGGTAATATTTGAGTAGTTAGAATTCATTCTTACTTTATTCACACTTTATCAATTCAATAACAACCACATGATTCCACTTTTTCATACCACAACACACCCTTTGTCCCAAACTTAGGGGAAGGAGATAGTAGTTGCTAATAACAGTCTATCAACTATAAGATGAGTTACTAATGAGGAAGGGGATTATCAGTCTGGCAAGAAACGGAGAAATCAGTCTAGCAAGAAACGGAGAAACAAAATGGAAAAAATACCTGGAGGGCACGACAAGACGGAAATGATGGGAGAAGCTCCATGAGGTTAGGGCGATAGTTAGGGCGCGGATGGACAACCTATGTGATAGTTAGGAGCCGAAGAAGAAATCACAATGTCTATTCGATCCGATGATAATAGAAGCAGATGGAACACAGGTGAGCGACGGAAAGAAAACAGTGTCTCTTCAATCTAACGATAACAGAAGCAGATGGAACACGGGCGAGCGACGAAAATAAAACGGAAAAATAAGATCTTTTTACAAAGTACATGTTATAAAACACAATGTATCGTCTAACTAAGCTAGATGATTCCACCAACATTTTTTCCATCTCTAAAATGACCTTACCCTCATTGGCTATTATAAGATTTTAAGATATGTCCAACTGAACCACTTCAAGAGTTCAAGTATTGCACTGTATTTGAGTTTCAATTTCACGAAGATTCCACGAATTACAAGTGAATGGTGATGAGATAAAAAATGAAGCAAGTATGTCCAGGAGTTAAAGTGTTAGGAGGAGCACAACATAGAGACAAATATGCTTATCCATAAGTTAGGGTCTGTTTGCAACCGCTTCTGCTTTTAAAAAAGTGTTTTTTTAATGAAATGAGGAGAAGTGATTAAATAAAAGTTGATAGTGTTTGAGAAAAAAATGATTTTGAAAAGTAAAAGTGGGTAGTGTTTGGTAAAATAAGTGTTTTTTGTGTAATAGAAAAAGTAAAAACACTTTTGACGCGGAAGCCGAGAAAAATAAAAGTTGTAGTGTTTGGGAAAATAAGTGTTTTTTTAAAGCCAAAAGCTGAGAAGTACTTTTTTAAAAGTAGTTCCAAACCCACCCTTAAACTACTTCATCAGTCAAATGTGCAATCCTTTTATGAATTGAATTATATCAGAAACCCGTTTGGTAATCTCTATTTTCAACTAATAAGCCTTGCTAGCGAACTATTTTACCATACACATAACATTTATTCATGTATTGAACCGCGTAATCAACAAAATAAATAAATTTAGAATTTCTTTTTTTATTATATTGACTGAAAATTTTATATGATCATTTTAGCTCATAATGCATATTGCATAGTGGTGGATTCGGACGGGGTGGTCCGACCCGGAACCGGCCCGAAACTGCACTGTTTGGCACCGGCCCGACCCGGTGGCCCGGCCAGGGACCGGTCTAGGTAGGCCCGGCCCCGGTGTTTTCCGGTGCGGGCTCGGGTCACCCAATAGACGAACCGGCCGGGCTGGGCCCGGGCTTTTTCATTTTTTTTTTCATTTTTTTTAATTCCCAGGTTGGGCTGGGTATTTAGGGCCATTTGGGGTGGTTAGGGGGTCGGGGGTGAGGGGGGGTCAGGGGTTAAATAGAAAGACGAAAAAAAAAATTAGAATCTGGCCTGAGGCCCGGCCGGACCCGGGGTTTACCCGGGCCGGTTCCGGGCCTACCTCCAAACTCCTAAAGCCCGACGGAGCCTAGGCCCAGCCCGGGCCCGACCCGAGTCCACCACTAATCGTGGATGTACATACATGTTATTAGTGGTGGACCAGTTCCGGGCCAACCGGTCCGGGTATGGGTGGACCGGTTCCGGTTCGGGCCCGGTTCGGGGGTGGCCCGCCCGAGGGTTATACGGGTCAGTCTCGGGGTCACCCAAAATAGGAACCAGCCCCACCGGGCTCGATTCGGGCCTTTTTTTTTATTTTGTTTTTCCCGAGTTGGGCTGGGTGTTTTTTTTTTTTTTGGGGGGGGGGGGGGGGGGGTTAATTAGAAACGCAAAAAAATGAAGAAGCTCGGGGACCGACCCAGCCCGACCAGGACCCGATGGAAACCCTGGCCGGTTCCGGGCCCAAAGCCAAACCCAAAAAGCCCGCCCAGGACCGGCCCGGAGCCAGACCCGGGACCGGTCCATGGCTCCATGCCTATATGTTACTACGTATATAGTAGTACCATTAAACTAAAAGTCTAAAATGCCATTTTTTCATCCATTTGAAATAGCATCATTTCCATCAATTGAGATGGGAGACAACTATTTTTTGTTTAATTTCAGCACAAAGGTGGTAATTGGATATATTATTGCTCTATCCCCCATCTCATTTCGTAAAAAACGACTCTGCATTGGGTTTTTGCTTGATGTACACATTTTATACAAGTTTCGCATACTTGTTGGGATAAGGGTCGGATAGGGCCTCGAACCTGGAAAAAAATGTCAAATAAGGCCATATGTAGGATGCTATGTCCGGATGACGCCATTTGGGGCAGTTCCTGGTGGATTTTTTTGATGAATTTTTTTGATAATCTTATTCATTAAGTCTAGTTTACTCATATCAAATTTGAACTAACAATTCAATCGGGAAGGCATTCAAATGAATTTTTGAAGATAACTGCGCTTTTAACTGCACAGTTATCTTCAAAAATTCATTTGAATGTCTTCCCGATTAAAGTTTTAGTTCAAATTTGATATGAGTAAACTAGACTTAATGCATAAAATTCTCAAAAAATTTCATCAAAAAATACCACGGGGAACCGCCCCAAATGGCGTCGGCCGGACAGAGCATCCTAAATACGGCCTTATTTGACATTTTTTTTCAAGTTCGGGGCCCTATCTGACCCTTATCCCCATACTTGTTTGTATACACACACACATTTTTGACAAACAGAGTTTTCCTTTGCATTAGTCAAGAATTAGTCTTCCAATTCCCACAGTAACCATTTAATCAGATTCAAAATATTAAATAAAAAATTACAGCTTATCGAAGAGAAGAGTGAAATAAATCTGGTTCACTGTCAAAATAAGTAGATGCAATACAGAACATGTGAATCTAAGTCAAAGAACTGCTTCCAGTGCAAGGAAACCAGTTTTAGAGGCACCTTAGCTGAACTTTCCAAGCTCCATTTTCTTCTTTAGTGCTCTTTGACCATGGTAAATGAACGAATCAACTAGCCCTGCAATTGTGAAGATACCTGCACACAAGAGAAAGGAACAGTTATATACATTGTACTGGCGGTGCATTCAGTCCATGAAGAAATCGCAGCCAATGCAAATAAATGAAATGTATATAGCATTTAAGGGAACGAATCTCAGAGACTTTAGTATCCACGGGACTTTAGTTCACTTCACATGGATATTATTCAGAGAGATTTTAAGTTTTAACGTGTCCGGACTACCGAGTTGAATTTATTATTGAGGCAAAAGTTCTTAGCAATTTGTTTATAAAGAACTTTTTGTTATTACCTTCCTGTTTTCCCGGTTTGTACTTCAAGAGACAGTTTATAACTTGGACAATGCTTGGTAAAGAAAATAGGGAGGAAAGTAGAGGAATATTTAAAAGGAATGAACAGGGGTAAAATTTATCTGTTCAAAATACTTCCTCCGTTCGGTTTTAAGTGCAACATGCACATGGGCACGGAAATTAAGAGGCAGCTAAAAGGTATTGCACTTTGACTCGTTTACCCTTAATGATATGGAAACAACAGCTGTACAATGAAAGTGCTACAGTGCAAATACATTACAACCACGAACACGATGCAGAATGCTATGGAGAAACGCTATGCAGGGGAAAATCAAAAGTCCAAAAAAAACGTGAAAGAAGAACAACAACAGGGGCGGTGCTGAGAAACGAGAGGCCACATTATTGTTGCAGCCTATTTTCCCCTTTCAGCATCCGCAGCACTCACCGTAGACTTACAGATAATTCTTCAAGTACTGAAATGGTCCGTCAAGCCCGTTACAAAAATTCGAAGTCGAATTAGATTCTGTGGTAGCTATCCTTGATCAGCGGCACGCCAAATCGGTTTCATCTCCATCCATGTCTTCCCTTTCGACGGTAATTAAAAAAAAGAAATCGGAGAAAAAAAACCAAGATGAAGATGATAAGGAAAGAAATAGGAAAAAAAAAAAGGTTAGTACGTGATTCAATCAATAATGGTGGGAGGTGAAAGTAGATTTTGGTGGGCTGGGATGATGAAGAGATACAGTACGAAAATGGAAGAGGGAGAAGCTGTAAAGAGGAGTTGAAATCTGTGGGCGGTGGTGGGTGGAGTAAGTAAAAGGGTCATGTCTGAAATAAGTGGAGACGGGAGAGTGTAAAAAATCAAGGGTATTAAAGTCAATTTGCTTAGCATTTCTTCCCAAAATAGAAATGTTGCATTTAATTTGAAACTACCAAAAAAGGAAAGTGTTGCACTTATTTAAGAATGGAGGAAGTATATATTTTTTCTGTCACAAAGACTAAAAGGGGCAGTCCGGTGCACATTGGCGTCCCCAATAGGTAAGGTCCGAAGTAGGGTCCCACCACAAAAGTGAATAAAGAGCAAACCTTCCCTTGTCATTTTGACGAGAGGCCGCTCTCAAGACTTAAACCCATGAACGAGTCACACTACAACACCGTAATTGGTGCGCCAAGGCTCCCCTTCTCTTACAAAGACTACGATACCAAATTATATAGTAATGAATTTTAAAAAGTCAACCCCATGATTTTCCTTCATACTTCTTTTTTTTACCCCAGGGGCGTCGGGGGAGGGAGGTTTGGGGGGCCTGGGGTAACTGGGATCAATCTCACTCCATTGAGAACTGAACCCGGGACCTCCCATAAGGGAGAGTGAGTCGTCAACCAGCTGGGCTGGACCGCTTCCTCTCCTTCATACTTCTTAACATAAAAGCAAACGTTAAAAAAATCCTTGGCATTTCCCGTGTTACAAGTGGCCCTGAAGCTTCAAGCATAATAACTTACGAAGCATATTATGGGGGAAAGATCCTTTAAAAAAAATTGAGACAGGTTCAGAGCTATTACTTATTTCATGTAATAACCCTTTCACACTACTTTATACGGAGTACTATTTATGCAAACAAACATGCATTTGCACACGTAGATATATATTATTTTCGCTTCTAAGGTGACCATATATACAATTAGAAACTGAGACCAGCATATTACCGCCAATAATCGCACATATATTTGTGAGGAAATGAAGGAAAGAAACATGCTCCTCTGTGAAGGTCACCTGAAACAGTTAATTAGAGGAAATTTAACTATAGTACTGCCGATGCTCTTTTTATTTGTTATTATGACATATTATTGTAGAGTGATTAAATACGACAGAGTATGTATCACCTTGATAGGTGAAAGATCATAAAAGAAGAAAACCCCGGGATGTGCATTGAAGTGACCAAACTCTGCACTTTTATAATGCTCGGTCACTGAGAACTGTAAAAAAGCAATGCTTTATAATAGTGGAAAAGATAAATTAAAAAACAACAAATATTAATTTGCAAAGACTCAACGGGTACCTGGTTTGAGTCAATCTTGTGGCCTCTGATGTTTGTGTACATTGTAGGAACCACCTGTAAAGCCATTGAACTTTAGAAGTGGCGAAATTTCAAGCTCATGTTCCTTTTAATAATACAGCAGAGTTATTAATAACTGGTATATACAAGCTGCTACTCCCATGTAGAGGTTATTGATCTTATTGGCAATAAAAATAGGGAGTATTTTAGGATCTCCGGGATTAAAAAAAAAGGAGTATTTTAGGATGAAACATACGTAGTCTATAATGACCTTCCATGACGGCTGTCAATAAATAAATATATACTGAATTTAAGGAAACTATGTCATTGGAGAAGTGCACTTCTGTAAACACGTGCACAAGAGTAAAACAACTTAATTTAGCTCCTATATAGGTGTGCTAACGTGGTTGAAGCAGATGTTTATGCAGGCAGAATGCTTGTGCAAGTATTACATGTACACTCAAATTTGGTTTAGGCACAGAAGTACACATAGTAAGAAAATTGGAGTGGCAGTTCATCCAGGTAATAAGGCAAATAAGAAGCATAAAAGTCCATATGGCCTTGTCTGTTGGAAAAAAACAAGATTTTCAGCTAGAAGTTTTCCCTAAGGCTTAAAGTCAAGTCCCGGACCACTGCACACAGAAAGAAAGAACATTGAAAAAAGAGGTTTTTTTGCCAGAGAGCAATGACCTTAAGAAAATATTGGTACATCCCATTTGGTGTTTCCTGCACCCAATGCGCCCTGACAATTCAAGAGGATGAAAGTCAACCATGTGAATACACAGGAAGTCAAGAATAAATAAGAAATTAAGAATAAGATTTGATGAAAAAAGAAAAGAAAAATCATATGTGTAACGAGTACTAACCTATCAAGTGGATTTACAACCCCAGGAATAGATGCTCCAAAAGCTAACTTGTTTATCGTATGGCTTATCTGCATAACATAAAAATAAAGTACAAAAATCTGTTCATTTGTTATAAAAAGATAAAACATGAACAAGTAAATGAAAGAATGCAACAGAACCTTACATTATAGCTATCTGTCTGAAGAGCAAGCAAATCACTCAAATGAACATTTGAGTGATGAAAACTTTTTCCGGGGGAAAAATGAAAATTCCCAGCAACCTTATTGACCTCTAGAGATCCATGGATGTTGCATCCTTCACCTTCTTCATCTTTAACCTTTTGGATGAGGCCTTCCCTTTTACACTACAAGTTTTATCAAGCACACAACCCAATGAACACTTTTAAACGTACATCAACAAGACAACAAACTGAGTCGAAGAAAAACTGTTATGGTGTCTCGAGAAGCTTGTATGTTTCGAAGCAAATGAAATAGTTTAGAGGCGGGCTACTTATTATACACTAAGCTTTAAATATTTTAACAAGTTAGTCTTTGTAAATGTATGGAAAATGAAGCTTAATACCAAAAACATAACAAGGAGTAAGCTTAATCACAAAAAAAAAGACGATACTTATACAACAAATTCATAACTGACATTCATTACAGCAAAGATCAATCATCAATTAGCAAACTCATTCTTCTCCATTATAACTATATCTAATGCAAACTATTATTTGTTAACTCGTGCTTGTACAAATAATCAGCAGCACCTCAATCAAAAGGAATTCATTAAATCAAGAGTCATTAATCACAGCCTTGCTTCTTTTTAACTTTAGCTACTACAGTTTTTCAAGCATTTAAAAAAATGCATTGCTCCTCATACTCATCAGTGGGACTTGCAGGCATGAGTAGTGAATACCACAAATAAATATAAATTCCTCCCATCAGTTAAAGCTTACCATCACTGCTAACAGATTACAGTTGAGCGTGTAAAAATTCAAAAATGATATGTGGGTGACTTAAACGTGGAACGTGGAATTCTAGCATCCTGGGGGGGGATATGAGTTGATAGAAAGTCTCTCGAACCTGATCTATTAAATCTGTATTTGAGATTGCCCATCCTTTTTTTCTGTATGCTTCACGAACTTCTTCACATGAATTACAACATTCATCATCTGACTGCAAAAGGAAGGGAGAAGATTGTGAAAGAGTGCAACTGTGATTAAAAAATCATATATTTCCAAACTTTGAATAGCGTTAGAGCGAAGGAAAGCAGGTAGTATAGTGGGTGGCTTTCAATTTAAATGAACGTGTTGATAAGTTGTTTCAGAGGGAAAATGGAGAAAATATAAAGCAAAGCATTATGAAAGAAATAGGACCATTTCTGCACCAAAGCAAGAACCACAGTATGTCTCATTATGCTCTAGCCTGCCACCGTGTCTTTGTAAAGGCCTTTCAACCTGAATGTAATGACAAATGTGTTAAGCATGAAAAGAAGAGGTGTGGAGAAGAAGCAGAAACTTCATTTAATCAAGTAGAAGGCACCAAATGGACATTAGAAAATACAGGTAGAAATTCAGGTTTAGATAAGAAGTAGGGCTATTCATCAAGCATTAGCATAAAATATGTGTAGATATATGTTGCTGGAGATATATAAATTGGGTGGATCATTTGTCATGAACAAGAAATTATTATATACGTAGTATCTAATATGAAGTCCAGATTATATAAAGATGAGATATATCTAGGCCACTAGTTACCTTAGGAGCACCGATTCCTTCTTGTCTGACTTCAATAACATTACCGTGTGAATCAATTCTTTTCTTGAATATATCATGTCTCTACTTGTCATAATAATTAGAAAAACATCAACACAAGAGCCATGGGAAATCAGAGAATAAATGAGCACATAACTATAAAAAAAGCTGGAGCTATCTACATAACGTACTATGTCAAGATGTTGTTCCCCGCTGATATCCATGGCATCTACACTAAGCAATGAACACCGGATGGCTGGAAAGGTCACATCAAACTGCTCAAACAAGTAGAAGTAGAACACAAGTATCAAAAAGCAAATATAGATCTGCAGCCAAACTTATTGGGTTATAAATGATTTTGCAACTTATTGGTGATCGTCAAAATCATGATTTGGGTTATAAATACATAAATTAATCCATGAAAGCGAGCTTTTTTGGGTAAGCAAGTTGCAATGCACACACAATCTATTATTAGAAATAATCAAATTACTGAAATTCTTAGAACGCAAGCATTTGAAAACTTCATAAAGCTTGGAACTTTACATTGATATGTAATTTTTCTCCTCTTGACGTGTCAACAATAAGCCTAGTCTCAGTCACAGTATGTAGGTATAATCCTGCAAAACGGAATACACTCTCGATCAAAAACCAAAATCGTATAGATGAAACTAACCAAATTGAAGATACCGCAGCAATGGATTATCAGAATCATCAGATTAATATAATATATATATATATACATATACATAAAAGTAAATGCGCATATATATCTAAATTGAGATCGGGAAAAAGAGAGAAACACGTACTAAACTCAGAGAAGAAAAGTAGGAGCATGACGGTCGAGGAGACGAGGGTGATGAGACCGCCTGAGAGAGAACGGCTGTAGAAATCTTCATTGACTTTCGGGTAAGCATCCAAGTTTCTTACCTTATCGAACAATTTCTCCATTCCGCCGACTTCCCAAACAACCCTTTTATCTCATATGCTCGTTAATGTCAATTCCTTTTCTCCTTCTCCCCCGAGAGGAGGTTGCCCGCTGGCTTCTGCAGAACGTGGACGGCACAGAGAAAGAAAGCGGAGGAAACGGGAGAGGACAAAAAGGTCTCGCAGCGCTGCCAATTCGGGCTGGGGGCGTAAAATTGACAAAGCCAAGAACGTCGTCTACCCCGTTGTGCTCACTGGTCAATGAATCTGTCGATTTGGTACACCCAAATTCCGCGGTCAGCGTACTCAGCGCCGGATATTTCTTTTGCTTTTCGGATATTTCCCTTTGTTTTACTTTTGCCCTCAAGTTAGGGTTATGTAATTTAGTGAATTTAGTTGATCCAAAGGTGGAATCTCCCATACCACAGAGTCTCACACCCCGATCAGACAGAATGGTAAAGGAGTAAGTCACGGTGACTCAGTAAGCAAATTGGCACCCGTGCGCATCAGATGTTAAGCCTTATTTCAGGTTCTGTAAACTCCATTCGGTCGTTGCGGGGATTCGAGCCTTGATCGATCCAAATTTTTCACCACTCGACCAACTGAGCTACCCGTGCGGGTAATTTAGTGAATTGAGTATGCACATACTAGGGGCTACGTAATAGTCAATATGTTGCATATTGTTGTGTATGTTTTTTAATTTGTGCTCCATGTATCATATGTTAAAAGTTTTGTAATGGAGCTTTGTATTAGTTTAAGCTTTTAGAATGCAGACACAAGTTGGTCTCTCCTCTCTAGGGCTTCGATATCTCTGTTTTCATCTATGACGAAGAGTGGCCGCGACGAGGGTTCTAGGTCGAGCGAAGGGAGTTTAGCTTGAGGTTGGGGTTCACGACTCTTCTGCGGCGGCATCGGCTCGATCCAGCAAGGAAGGTGCATGGTTGCTTGAGCGTTGTGGCGGGTTTCGGCTCGGCCAGCAGGGAGGAGTTTAATGGAAAATATTGTCACTCAATACAAAAATATGACTATTGGAGGGGATATTGAGGAGCTGAACTTCGATGATGACGAGTTCGAAGAATAAGCGGCGGAGGAGAGGCGGATGAGCTTCCCGGTGGTAGGCACCCTTCTCATTAATAGGAAGATTAAGTTCTGAATCTTCAAGGAACTTATGGCTTCTCTGTGGCGGGGAAAAGATGTGTCAATCACATAAATAGGTGACGAAATGTATTTTCACTTTCTATCATGTTGTGGATATGAAACGTGTTTTAAAGAGTGGTTTGTGGTTGTTTGAAAGGAATATGTTGTTTCTCAAGGAAGTCAGGCCAAAGGGTATTCCGCTCAAAATTAGCCTCACTGAGGCTGAATTCTGGGTGCAAGTCCATAATGTTCCTTATGGTTTTATGAACTTAGGCACTACTAGGAGGGTTGGTAATCATATTGGTAAGTTTATTAACTCTTATGAAAACCAATTTGACGAAAAGTTGGAAGCTTATATCCGTATTAACGTCTCTATGGATGTTGTGAAACCTCTGAAAAAGGGAACAACTCTCAAGAAAGGAGGGATAGGTGTTGGATAATTGATACCCATATTGTATAAACAGGAGAGATTGAACAGGAATGGAGAAGAAATAATGAAAGTGTATAGAATGAATGAATATTTGTTATGAGTTACAAGCCTCCTATAAGGAGTATATATAGGGAAAATCTGGGTCTGGGCCTTTAATACGGGCCTGACAGACCCGGTTACATAAATGGACTGATAGTATAAAAAGCTAATCTAGAACATTTGAATAATAATGTACAATAATATGAATCCGCTAAATGTGTGTGGGCCGCTGTCCAGGCCCAGTAGTCGGCATACCGGGGGGTCGGAGTCCATATACTCCATCAGAAGTCCCCCACTGTCACGCCCCGGACCTCCCCGGACACGTCAACAACCCGCCGTACAATACGAATAATCAACCGCAGTCCAACACATTCATATTATACAAGGCGTCTTGAATATCATTCACCCACATAACATCCATAAACAAACATAATGAGTAATTCATAACGCAACGGAAACATTGTTTAAAACAAAAGGGCCACACATGGCTATTCATGAGCACGCAGGCTCTATAGTAAAATATCCATGAGCATGTTTAATATTGTTTCAAAACAGAATGGAGAAGGCACGAACCACTTCTTCTCTCCAAAGGATCACCCGAGCAACGGGCACAGGTAGCAAGCTCGAGCCTCAACCTGAAATGGTGGTGGGACGCCCCCGAAGGGGTCAGTACTCTATACGGCTATAAAGTACTGGTGTGGATGGCATCTAAGGGATATACAACAAGTATTTCAAACACAAGACCCTCAAATAGGGTGATAATACAATATAGTGGTAACCCTGAGTTACCCTGTTTCAAAATATACTTACTTTATATAAAAGTCAAGTAGTCGGCCCGTGGGCCCATGTTCATTTAGAAATCACCATTCCCATTCCACGTGACTATAAGCCACGACAATTCATAAGTTCATAACATTACCATTGCATAGTAAGGGCTCGGCCCAACTACATTTCTATGCAATCCTTTATGTCAAGTACATCCTATCACGTTTGCATCCTATCACATTTGCATAGCAAGGGCTCGGCCCAACTACATTTCTACGCAAATCACAATTTACATCCTATCACATTTGCATAGCAAGGGCTCGGCCCAACTACATTTCTATGCAAATCACAATTTACATGGCAAGGTCTCGGACCAACTACATTCCCATGCAAATCTCAATTACATCCTATCACATTTGCATAGCAAGGGCTCGGCCCAACTACATTTCTATGCAAATCACAATTTACATCCTATCACATTTTCATAGCAAGGGCTCGGCCCAACTACATTTCTATGCAAATCACAATTTACATGGCAAGGTCTCGGACCAACTACATTTCCATGCAAATCACAATTACATCCTATCACATTTGCATAGCAAGGGCTCGGCCCAACTACATTTCTATGCAAATCACAATTTACATGGCAAGGTCTCGGACCAACTACATTTCCATGCAAATCACAGAGTCCGACTCTAATTTCTCATTATAGTCCAATTCCTAAGCAAACCTATGCCTAGAATTGACATCTCGAATATCTACCTTGGTCATTCTTAATGACTGCCCATGACTTACCCTTAGCTTCATACCAAGTCATTTTATACACTTGAAGTACATTCAAGTGCATTTCATACAATCCAATACTTAGGATCAATTCTATCAACAACTTCAAATAATCACTAACTAGTATTTCAATACTATTAAGATTATTGTCATCATACAAATATCCTCATCTTGTAATTCTCTACATATTTATAAGTATGTAGCAGCAACTTAAGTACTCAATTTCAATACATAAATATTCATTTATGTATCCACATAATTCATACATGAGTAAAATGTCTATTTCACAAAATAGTTCGTTTATAACTCATTTAATCTCATGTTATTCATACAATCTCAAACCATTTCCAATTTCATTCTTTGTCAACTATATCAATAGTTCATAAATATTTAAGCATCATAATCCATGAAAAATTATGATTTAGGCATTTAGGAAATCTCATGCTTAACCTACAAGTTGTAAGCAATTAGATGTCGACCCTCACCTCAATGAGCTTTAAAACTTTCCTTCTCGATCCAATGACCAAAGCCTCGGCCAAGGAAGCTTGAGAACTGATTCCTTGCTTAGCAATGAGTGTTAAACAGCCTCCTCAAAGTGCTAGTTCAACCCTAATCGTTGATACGAAAACAACCCCCAGAATGGGTGTTTTCCGGCTAACTCGTTTCCTAGTTTTCCAAGATTTGCTCTAGGTTAGTATCTAACCTTTCCAACAATTAAAGTCACTATATAATACTCCCTCCGTCCCCTTTTAAATGGGACGGGAGATGGTGGCACGGGTTTTAAGAAAAGTGAGTTTGTGTGGTTGATATTAATTGATAAAGTAAGAATAAAGTAAGAATGATTTTGAACCATACAAAGTTTACCAAATAAGGTATGGGGCAATTAAATAGGGACATCCCAATATGGTAAAACGGGACATTTAAAAGGGGACGGAGAGAGTAACATTTTATACACTTCAACCAGTTTATAATAGCTCTTCAATCATTCATATGATTTAGACAATAGAGAGGAAGATTTTGGATTCAAACTTACTTTGAATACAAAAACGTATTCTGTGAGGTTGCGTTTTGTTCTGACGATTTGGAGGCCTTAAACTGCTCCGTTTCCTTCAAACCGTACGTCTATGGATCCCTCTTCTTGAGAGCTTTCAGTGGACACCTCATACGCCCCTTTTGGGTGAGTATTTCTCAAGATACGAACCAAACAGTGAGCTCCACGAACTGGAGATTAACCCTGTGGCCAGCTCCCTTATCTCTTTCCCTATTGAGTGTGAGGCTCTCCCTTCTTTCGTATCCATTTCAGTTCGAATGGGGGGTGAGGGGGAGGTGTTTAGGATCTCTCAAAATGATATCTAAGCATGTGGTTCACAAAAAGAAAGGGTAGGGTGTTTGATTGCAATTAAACATGGTGTGGACCTCCTCTTTTATTTCCTTTTTGTAATGTTGTAGGTCTCAAGTCAAATGTCCGCCCCACATAGTTGTCTCATCCATTTTTCTTTGTCTTGCGGGTACCAAGGTCATGTGGGATGGTTCCCAAATGATTCCATTCAATTTGGGGTCCAAAATACCTACCAATACTTCCAAAATGAAAAGATGGACCCTGTTGTTTTATCCTTGTCATGAGATGTCTTTTTGTACTCCTTATAATTTATGTAGGCCAAGTCAACTTCATACATCATATTATTGATTCCCAACATGTGTAGGATCATCCCAATAACTTACATGATGAATATTATAGAAGGAAAATCATATTCCCATTGTTTAGCTCAATAATGTCGAAGATGGGACCATAGGTATTTGTATTCTTCTCTAATCATACTATCACTTATTTTGACATTGTCATTCATATATTGGACTACTAGTCGTGTGGGTCACCCCCAAGTGGGCCTACAACGCCATTCTTGAATACTTGCTATTTTTAGCAGGTTGGGCCCAAAATAATGTTTGGACCGCCCGACCTTCCTCAACTTGTCTTGAAATGTTATGTGACATTATTTAGGTAATGTTGGGCTCTTATGTTCATTGATAAGGCCCAAATAAGTATTTGCAAACCCGACACTAATATACGAGTTCGAACAGTACAATAATCAATCATGCGCTACGTAAAGCGTTAATCGTTTACAATTGTTTGGAAATTTGAAATTCAATGCATAAACTTTGCATTTAAATTTGAATTTCAAGGACGCTCG